GGAACTCCATTGGGGTTAATGTTCCAATCTGATTTATAATTTCTCTGCATTTTTTGTACAATAAGTCTTTGATTTTGGTTTTATAAATATGATATGAACCATTTTAATTCAGTATTTTCCAGTATATTCCATGCATACTTAATTTTTCTATGAGTATCTCATGATTCACACAGTCAAAAGCCTTGGAAAGGTCACAAAGCACACCCACAGTCTTCTGCGATCCATCCAAGGCTTCCGCAATGCAGTTAATCACTTTTGTTATGGATTTTTCAGTACCGAGTTCTGGGCGGAAACCAAACTGTGAAGGATTTATTAAATTACTGCTTTCTAAATGTTCTGTTAATTGAATCTTTACAATTTTTTCAAAAATTATTGAAAAACAAGGCAGAAGGGCGATGGGGCGGTAGTTAGAGGGATCGTTGACATCGCCCTCTTTGAACAGGGGTTTAATCTCAGCAAACTTAAGCTTATCAGGAAAAACCCCCTCCTCAAGGGACTGATTTACTATTTGGCATAATGGATGTTCTATAAATTTAAAAACTCTTTTAATTACAAAAAGAGGAATTTCATCCCAACCTGAGGACTTAGTGTTACTGAGAGATGTAACAACTTTTCTTAACTCGTCAATTGAAACATTTCTAAATTAAAATGTTAATTTGGAACGTGGATGATTTTCGATTAGTAACTGAGTGGCCTTTAATTTATCTGTTGATTGGTTGGCATACTGAGAAACATTAATAAAAAAAATATTGAATTTATTTGCTACCGATACTGCACAATTTTGTTTATCCCTTTAATGTTTGAATTTAATCTCAACTGGAGTATCAGATATTTGTTTATTAAGTCCTGTTTTATTTTTCACTACTACCCAAGATGCTTTACTTTTATTCTTAGATTTTTTAACAACATCGTCATTAGCTTTCAGTTTTGCTAATGCAACTACTTTTTCAAAGACCTTTCTGTAGTTTTTGTAATAGATTAAAAACTGAGGGTTACGATTCCATTTTGATTCTTGGTGCAACTTATTTTTATTTTCTGCTGAAATTTTTATTCCTGTTGTTATCCAGTTATTTTTGTTACGTTAATTCTTTGGACGATCTACTGTTTTGGGGAATGCCTCATTGAATGAATTTAAAAAGTGTGAAAGGAAGTGTGAAGAAATTAAGTTAATTGAGTATCAATGAAATCTGCTTTTTTTGCCTTCCGAATGTTTGTCTAAATGTAATTGCCACTCCGGCACTCATGTTTCTATTACAGTTTATGTCAGCAGAAATAGTATGAGCAAACGCAACTGTGAAGTCAGCTTTATAAGTTTCAAAAGTTTGTCTCATATTTTCGTCCCTAACATTAACCATGTCTTCTTCAACTGTCAACTCATTGTAAGATGGATCTTGGTGTTGTGGATAAAAATTATCTCGCAACATGCAAGCAATTTTTTTTTTGCCTAGTCTGTTGAAGTGAAAGGCGTATTTTGTGTACAGCGTACGGGGTGGCTCAAGGAGTTCCCTGCTGAGTTTGGTCTTTGTGGAGTCAACCCAACCGTCTCCTTTTCATCGGAGGTCAGGTTGGTGGGACCTGCAACACAACAAGGGTGGTTCCTCTATAGAGGGGAACCCGATTACCAAAATGCCGCGACCTCCCACCGATCCCACCTCCTGATACCCTATGGGGCCCTGGCTGTCAACACCATCAGTCAGAAGCTCTGCATGGTACAACCCCCTCAATTCCGGTTCGTGCAGGCTTTGGTAAGCCCATTATCTGAGTCGGCTCAGTGGGGGGGCTCCTGGCGATTCCATTGCGGCAGACCAGTTTGGGTATGTCCCAGAACTTTTCACGTTTGGTGCCTGCAGGATTCGCACATTTGTATATGAGGACTATATATGATCCAGGCCCCTGTATTTCAACAGGCAGAGATTGGGCTAGCGCACATTCAAGAGCTATCTCGAGTCAAAAACAAAGTGGAACATAGTGCGGGCATACAAGTGGGCATACCCCCGCCAGAAACGTTTGGGTTCGAGCTGGACGACATTTACGCTCTGCCCCGGATGGCCGATCTAGGCATATCCCCGTTGGAGGCTCACCGTGCGGACGCTCCGGCGGCCGGTGCGGACCCTGCCAGGTAGTGCGATGCTTATGCGCCCGATGCCATCTTGACCTCGGAGGCGGCCGCGACTGGAATCAATACTTTAGACCACAAGTACTTGTTGTCCGGCCACTCATACAATAACTGTGACAAAAACTTTGGTGTGATTGAAAGATCAAAGAAGAATTCTGGAAGATCCATTTTTGTACCACAAGATTGGATGGATACAGTTGCAAGTTTATCAAATAGGTTCATGGTGGTTAACATGGAAGAGAAAGACTTTATTTCTCTAGAACCTTTGGATGATTACTTTGTAAAGACAGTGAAGGGAATTCGGCAAATGCAATGGTTGAGATTTAAAAAATCAGATCCAGACACACTCCTTTATAAGAAAACATTTAACCCAGACATGCCCTTCAGTGAGTACAACATAAAGCCTAAGGAGAAAGCAGGTTCTCGACCAAGGCCACGGCTACCTCCACAACTTACTTCTAAAAAGGGAGCTCCAGGCATAAAGGCTAGCAAGTATTAAGACCTACAATATCTACTGGCATTTGTTCTTCCTGAACATCATGCATAATATCATGCACATAGGGCACTTAAGCTTCGACCGACACACAATCAGCCTCGAAGAGGAGTACCACTGCCAGATAATGATGAAGAAATCGCAGCAGATGAAGATGACATGATTTTGGAGAGTGACTCCGACTAGTTTATTTAATGTTACATAAAAAGCTAAATCCCAGAGGTACAAAAAGTAAGCCCAACAATTTCAGCAGCGACTCAAAATAGGTAGTTGTAGATTTTTTATCTCCCTTGAACACAAACGTGAAAAAACTAGCTGAAGGAAAAAAGTTCCTACCTCTGTGAAAAGAAAACTGGTATTTGGTGAATTGATATTCACCAACTGCTAGTATATATATCAACTGACATTAAAATATAATCTATTTGTTTATTTTTCAAAATTATTATAATTATATGCATTTTTCATTAATAAGACTCCTGCGGATGGAAGAATCAGATAATCGTGGTTTGCTATCAGTGTACACGCGCCACGTTTTAGATATGCACATCCTGGGTTGTGCTTATCTGTCCTCAAAATGAACTGGCCAATAGTAGGCTAAGCTCTTATTTCAAGGTTTTTACCATATATATGGAATTGTGGTCATGTCAAATTGACAGGGTGGGTATCTTGCGATTCTCAGGCTTTTGTCAGTAAGATATTTCATTCCATCATCACACATCAAGCAGCACACCAAAACAGAATATGGTTCTGCTAGTAGTCCCCTATTCCTCCAACTCAGATGAACAAGTATTTTCCAAATTATTCCTGTTAGGGCTGAGACCATCTGTTATGTCAATCCCATTGCCTGGTAGTACTTGTATCTCAAGTATTTTTTATGCTTTAATATTTTGTCAAAGATGTATTGAATAAATATTGCTCTAAGCAGGGGCCTGTTTCATAAAAATATATAAGCTTGTAATATAAGTGTTTACCTGATATTATTAAATTATAATACTAGTATTGTGTTTCATAAAAATATAAGCTAGTAAAACAAGTTATAAGTTTACTGCTCCAAAATACCAGTTATAATACTAGTGTTTACACAAATCTTGTTTCAAAAACAATAGAAACTAATAATATAACCCTAAAATTTAGAGTAATATATTATTAGCCTTTTTTGACTCATAGAATTTTTACTTGTGTCGTGTATTTTCTATTAAGATTTAGCGAAATATAAAAATATTAATAACTTTATCTAAATAGAGATGCAATCAAGCGGATCAAGTGATGAAGAAGACATAGTGGTGGTTAGAAGACCAAGAACATTTAAACAAAGGATTTCTTACTTTCAAATTCAAGAAACCTACGAGTTTAACCCTCCCAGTGTTACTTGACGAAAATTCGACAAGCAGCACACTTTGTGTAGTGTTACTTGTCGATTTTTCGACACGCAGACATCGTTTACGGCGAAGGCTCTATGACTGACTGAATCGGATTGAACTGGATCGAGTTAGGTATCGTTCTTTCCGTAATATTCTAAGCTTTCTCCAGAGGTCTGTCTCTAAGCGCTATTCATTTTAGTTCCGAAAATATTGTAGCAGACAGCTGACGTGCGTGTATTTGTAAACAGCTAGGTTCCCCCGGACCGATGACTGATGTGTTTTATTACGTTTATCATTGTTTTAGTGTTAAAAATCAAAAGTAGTGATATACGTGGTGCATTATAAGAAGATTTAAGTGGTTTTGAAGTGCTGGTTGATGATCCTGAAGAAGTAGGTAGTGATATTGATGTAAATTATCAGCAAGATTCCTAGCTATGGTTAGGCTATGCATTCTTAGCTAAACGCTATGTACTGAAATCAGTTTTTTGCCCATAACTTATTTATTTGCAAATCTACTTCCTTATATTATTATATATTTGTAATCCTCATAAAATTTAGAACAAAGTGGCTATTTTCAAATATTTATAGGCCTATAATTTATACAATTTCATTGAGCGCGAACTTATTTTTTTTTTTGAAATTTTTCGAAATTATATTTTTTTTACCTAAAAATTTTTTTTTTTTTAAATGTTCCTTATGTTTTATATATAATATTGAAGCCCATGATTTTCCAAACAAAATGGTATATAGAACATTAGAATTAACATTGTTTTAAGCTTCTCAGATCCGTTTTAATAAAACCTTGCAAATGCGCCAAAAATAGGTGGACATTAAGGCCTAAACTATGGACACTTGGAGGGTTAATGAAAGGTTTAGGTTAAGCTATGAAAATTTCAATATCATTTTGAATACAATCGAGCCTGTGTTACAGCACCCAACGAATAGGAACCATGCATTGACACCAAAAGAACAATTACAAATTGCACTTCATTGGTTTGGTAGTGGTGTACAATACCATTGCATAGCAGATATGCACGGTGTGTCGAAAGCGACAGTTTGCCGCATCATAAAAAATGTTGTAAATGCAATTAATGAAAACTTATTGATTGACACCGTTCGCTGGCCAGAAGATGTAGGAGAAACAATCAATGCATTCAGTAATATCGCTGGCATGCCTCTTACTTGTGGTGTAGTTGATGGGACTTTAATAAAAATAGATGCTCCTTCAATCGACGAACCAGTTTTTGTTGACAGAAAGGGACATCATTCCATAAACGTTTTACTAATTTGTGGACCTAACCTGGAGTTTTACTACGTAAATGCTAACTGGCCAGGTAGTGTTAGCGATGCTCGTGTTCTGAGAAATAGCTTCATAAGTGACAGAATTGAAGAAGGTTGGCGTCCCTTTCCAGGCGCTGTGTTGCTTGGGGATTCTATCTATCCGCTCAAGTCCTGGTTAATACCACCCGCTCTTCAAAACGCTGGTGACCCTGCACAAACTCGTTTCCTAAGAGCACACAAGAAAACTAGAAGGGTAGTGGAATGTGCAATCGGTAGGTTAAGGGAAAAATTTCCTTGTCTTAACTACTTGCGAGTAAATCCTGTCTATGCATGCAACATAATCAAATGTGCTGTTGCTCTTTCTAACTTGGCAATGATCGAGAGATTTGTCCTTAATAACGACGAAGACGATGCTCATGTAGTTGAGGGGGTAGAAGAGTACGCGGAAGGAGCGGAAGAAAAATTACACTTCTTCTACAACCACTTCAGAAATTAGCTGCATGGCTTAGACTTGTTGCTGAGACCTTGTTTTGACTTTTGTTTCTATATTTTTTTAGTTTTTCTTGATGTTTTTTTCAGTAATATTAAGAAGAATAGATTAGTTAATGGTATATATTAATCTAATTTATACAGTTATTTCTGTTTACCCCAACCTAAATAATTTTCCATACCGTACTTTAATAGTCAATTTGTATAGTTATAAACCAAATGTAAGTCTATTATGTTTATGATTTTTTATTGTTTGTTATTTAAAGATCTAATTAAACATGTCTTAATAATCAGGTTTTAACATCGATTAATAAAAAGAGACAATAATGAAATATACAAGCATGTTTAATTATTAAGTATTAGTAAAACTATAACAGACAAAAACACAATTAAGAGTAATTTTACAAATCCATTTGTCAGTATTTCGTACATTAGACATGAGTAAGTGGTTTTACAGATTGGGTTAACTCGGAATGTTCAACCCCTAGTTTGTTTTCCAGCTCCCACACTTCCAAACTTGGTTTTGAGAACTTCCAACTCCAACTTTTGTTTTCTCAAAATCTCAAATTGCTTCTTCGCATCAGTCGATCTTACAATTACTTGCTTCCTTTTTCTAGTAGGCCTATTATTAGTAGTAGGCATTGCCACTTCTTCAAACAATGTGACATCACTGTCATCCATATTATGTGACCAAGCAACAATCTGAACATCCGATTGATGGATAGTTGGATTCATTTCATGGTTTGAAAGAGACTCATCTTCTTGCTCTTGACTCGAACCAGGTTTAGGTACCATGGAATCACCAACACCCAATCCTTTTAAAACGGGTGACTCCTTTCCTACAATGTTCAAGACCATATCGTCGATGGCATCTAGCATCGAGTCTGGTGACCCACTTGCCCCCGTCTTAGAAGACTTGTCAACCTTTTCCATTGTTCTCTTCCTGAGATTTGTCCATGTAGTGTCTCTTACATAGGTATAGTCCTTATCATTAGTTATGAGTCCAATGGAAACAGCGTAATCACGGACAGCACTCCATGCATTCTTCTTGGTTTCTTTAGTCGCTGTTGCAGAAAACGCTTCAAAAAGCTCAGCTTTTAGTTCAAATATCTTCCTCAAAAAGTTCAAGTTTTTCAAATTCTTCATTTCACGTTTACTTGACAATTTGATCAAGTTAAAATATTGCAGTCAAAATTAACCTTACAAATCAAACCAAAACAAATACTAAAATAAACAAGCAAAATAATGCAACAGCTGACTAATAACTTGTATTATCAGTGTAATATTTTATTAGTCTGTAAATATTTTTATGAAACAGAAAATTACCAACTTGTAAAATAAAATTTTATAAGCTTATATTACTAGCTTATAATATCAGTACTTTTATGAAACTGTTTTAATTTACAACATTTTGCTCTGCCATCCTGGCGCACGAGAATTTTGGTGTTAGAAGTGGGATTGATATTCAGATGGTGCCTTAAATATTTTATAATAGCAATTGTCAATAGTTGTATTTTTGGTAATAGCTTTGTATGTAATAGGGTACTGTGTACTCTTGTATTTCACTAAATAGAGACTATAAGATATAAGCTGGGGTCAAGTTTTAAGTAAAACATTTGAGGAGCCAGCCTGTATGGAAAAACGGTCTTTTGGGAAGCCACCTTCTTGTGGGTCAGGTATAGGCAGTAAAGAACCGATACTATCAGAATTATTCACTAAGATAGGGACACGTTCAAATGTGATAACTGCTCGTTACAAACATGTTTATCCTGTAAATCAAGGTTTTAGTCAAAATAGTAGTCAAAGTGGCAGAGCCAGTTACATTGAAACAAGTCTCATTTTTAACATCATTTTATGACTTGTCCGATGTTAATATTTTAGTAGTTAATTTAGTGATAACCGAAGAGGATGCGTTAGAAGCTGCAGAGAGATTTAGAAGGGTAGATCTAGACCAGATTAGGGTTGAATTAGTAGAAGAATATAACATATTGCTAAGTAATATCCCTGGGTATTGGGAAACAGTACAAAAAAGCGTGAGAACCTTTGTAATTTTTGACAGATTTTTGGGAATGTGTAATATAAATTCATGAATCAAGACAAGACAGAATATTATTTACCCATCCTGAATCCAGATCTGATCCTGGAGGGTTGCGAGACTTTGCTGTCTCTAGTAGAAAGGATCATAGAAAAATATATCAATGGGGGTAGAATTAATTACACAGATGAGGCTAATGTCATAAGGGTTAAGGTTAGACAAATTGTGATTGATTTTCTTGATTAACCCTTTTAACTCCAGCATCCGTTTCATTGGACGTCTGCTATTTTCTTATTTACTGGCCACAAAATGATCCAAATGCCTTCAAAGTTGGTGTAACGCTGTCTGATGAAGTGGACTACAAATATATAATGTAGTTTTTCTTAGTAGGACAGTTTTTCGTACTCTGTGAGGTGTCGCTTTTGTACTGTCATCAGCTGTCATGAAGCCGCCGAAGCTGGCTGACACGGTGTGTTGTTTACGTTTATCGTCTGTACTGTGTGACCTTATTTATTATTTTAACTTTATTTTGGGTTTTATTTAGTAAAGTTATTCATTGAAAATGAAAAGAAGAAAAAGGGAGAAGTCTCCATTAGTGAGAATTCATTTTATAGAAATCTCCATGGTGTAGAAAACAATGAAGTAAACAACGATGAACTGAGTGATTCGACTGTAGAAAACATTGTAAGTTCTGATTCGGAGGATATAAGTTCTTCAAATAATTATGATAATATGGATGATAGTGATACAGTAGTGAGGATATTAGTAAAGATGAAGATCTAGACTTTGATCCATTGTCAATAACGTTATCAGATGAAGAATCTTGTGGTGATGAAAATGTCCCAACAACATCAATGGGTAAGCCTCAAGCTAGGCCTAAGTCTCGTTTTACAAAACAACCCTCAGTTGAAGAAAGCAACATAAATATAGTCATAGATAATGTTGTCAGTCCTAGCTCATCCAGAAAATAATTTTGATCACTTCATAAATAATGATGTAGATTTGAGTCCTGTGAGTCCTAGTGGTTCCAATGATGTAGGCCTAGGCAAAGCTCCTCCAGAAAATAATGTAGATAATATCACAAATGAAGTCGTTCAAGACATATTTGACCCTGACCTACCAGACCAGCTTACGGTAAACGGAATTCCCCGTAATCATCTAGAGCCCGAAATTTTTCTAGAATGGACTGAAGTTTACGATGGTAATGATCCTGGCAACCCATGAATTTACCTGCGATGAAATTCCAGGCCCAAAACATGCCCTTAGTTCAGATATAAAGCTTATTGCATATTTTAGTTTATTTTTTACTGTAGGCCTGCTAAACACATTTGTTCTACGTACAAATCAATATGCAATGCAGTATATAAATTCTTTAGCTAAGATGTCGCCTCATTCTAGTGCTTGTATGTGGAAGCCCGTAAATCTAAATCAAATTAAAGGTTTTATCGCAGTCATTTTGAACATGGGTGTGGTTAGGAAACCAAACATCAGAAGTTATTGGTAGACATGAGCGTCTCAAAGTACACCTTGGTTCCGTAATATGTTTAGTCAAAACCGCTTTGAAAGCCTACTGCAATTTGTCCATGTTGCTGATAACAGATCTCCTAATGAACCAAATTACGATCCATACAGTAAATTTTTGCCAGTGATAGAACCTGCAAATCGTGTATTTAGAACATATATTATACTCCACATCGTGAACTTTCAATTGATGAAAGGCTTGTGGGCACAAAAAGTCATTCCAAGATCTTGCAATATTTACCAAATAAGCACCATCAAAAATGAGGCATCAAATTATGGATGCTTTGCGATTCAGTGACAAAATACTGTTTGTCATTTGATTGTTATAAAGGGTCCAAAAACAACGATGGGAAGAAAGAACATGGATTGGCCAACAAAGTGGTAAAAAATTTACTCACAATATGTCAGTACTTGAATAAAGGGTAGGCCTACCATATTTTTTTGAACAACTTTTTTCGAAAGTCTGCCTTTGTATACAAAAATTTACATTGACTGGAACAGTGAGGAGAAACAGGAAAGGTACATGAGAAGTGGGCCCAATTTATTACTACCTATCCTATCATGAAAAAAGAGCCAAAAAAATCAGTAATTTTACTGTCAACCAAGGGAACAGCAAAATCCTTTGAAAAAGTAAAAAGAAGAGGCAATGAGAATATAATAAAGATAAAGCCAGATCTTATAAATACATATAATATGTATATGGGAGGTGTTGACTCCAGACCAGATGCTTTACGGTTACCTGGATGAGAGAAGGACGGTAAAATATTGGAAGAAGGTCAAATCAAATAAAATCAAAATATCATTTATTTTTCAAAAAACTGACACATTCCGTATTATAATCCCTATGCAAAAAATATTTACAATATTATTTATTTTTCTAAATTATGTACAATTTTCTATAAAAGCTTTTTAAAGTAAGCGAAATTATCCCCGCACAAAGGTGAATTTACTCCTGTGAGTGGGAGAGAGTCGTTATATTTTTAGAGATTTTGATGTTACGAAAAAAAGGAATTTTGAACTGGTTTAAAGTTGCGCGCTGGAGGACTGAGTGATGGTGTCCCCATACCTCCTTCCCCCCACCCTACCCACCAAAGATAACCTGTTCAATATTTTTGCCAGGATGGCCCTCAATTCATACATTATAGCTGAATGGCAAAACTCGACCTACTGTGAACGGCGCTGGCGGAGAAAATGGGTTGCAAGAAGATAATTTTGGAATGGAATATTTGCCGGAAAGAAGGGAAAAGGAACTGTAGTGTGTGCAGCAAAGTTAGCACAGCAGCAGTTGGTAAAAGGAAAAAAAGCAGAACAGTTTGCATAAAATGTAAAAAAGGTGTGCATGCTGTCTGTTTTGGTCTGATATTTTCAAAGATCCAAAGAGAATTTATAACTGTGACGATTCCGGATTTCGAACAAATCCTGATTGTGGGCTTGTACTTGGACCCATCTAC